TTGTTGTTGACTTTTTTAATAAAATTAAACTTAAAAAATTTACATTAACTAATAGTAAAATAAAAACTGCGATATAAAATATAAAAAAATGAAAATAAAATAAAGTGGAATTAAATATAAAAAAAACAAAAAAAAAACCAAAAAATTTGTTGCCAATCGCTCCAACCGAGGATCGACCTGGCTCCTACAGACTTTTTGCACGCAACTCTCACCACTTGGCTACCGCGGACGCTAAACTTGCTTGCTTTGTTTGCTTACTTACACAAAAGACAACAGCTGGCCGCTTTTACCAGTGCTGTCATCGAAAATTCCCCTGAGCCGCGTTAATCCCCAAAATTGTTGTGCATTTATTCGGCTGCTTATGAACATTTGAAAGAGGAAAATGCATGAGTTAATGCAAATAAAGGCTGTTTATGCAGATAAGCGGGCCCGTTTGTCACCCGTAAGTGGGACCTGTACATGCCTTGGTATGAATAAATTGAATGTGTGCTTCATAAATTTCACATACATATGTATATTTCTTACTGATTTTTCAAATCCAGTGCTGCTACCTGCAGGTGATCGTTTGTCAATTGTCGCCGGAGTATAGTTTTGAAATAAATAAATTCGTTTCCAAAGCGAATTTATTACTATGGGTTGTGAGACTATTATTCCCTTTACGGTTTCTGCTTATCGTGAATTTGATATATCAGGAAAAAGTCGGTCGATTGCTGCTCTTTGTTGATGCTTTCATACACTTCAAAAATGGCACAAATTGCAATTTTTGGTTCAATTAATCGGGGAATCAATTAAGCGGGAAAAATTGCTGGTATATCTCTTTCCGATAGCACATATTTTTAACCTATTATGCGGGAAAACCAATTAACCGGTTGTCAATTAAGCGGAGAATACTCAATAAATAGCAGATGCATGTTGTTTTGTCCTCGGGGTAATAATACTAATGCTTCCGTTGATATTTTTCCGGTGCACTCCGAAGACGGATCACCATTTGATCATTTGACGACAGCTCTTTAGCGGTACCTGGTGGGGATGATACTACCACTCGAAGTTCGACTCCGGGCAAAGAAGATTTGCAGAGCCGATAATTTGAAGGACACAACAAGAAACCCTCAACCCAATCCTTCTACTTCGAAGGAGCAGACTTTGAGAAGACAGCGGTCATTAGATACTACCGATGGCATAGAGAAGAGGCCAAAAACCTCCGCTTCAAATAGCCTTATCAACCCTTCACTGGCTCTGAGGGATTTTATTGATGTTGCCAGACAGCACTTGCTTGTAGCGGTAATGGACTTGGGACTCCGGCAGGGAAACTTTACGAAGGACAATTGGAGACTCGTCCTCACCTCTCTGTACTCACGACCTTTAGAGTGATATGATGGTAGAAAATGGCTTGCAGTGGGTTGTTGCCAATCTAGTGCAGCTTATGATGAACATCACTAAGCCAACTCAATTTCAGCTTTCGACGAAATACGTGACCACAGTGCCGGAGGATAGCAACTTTAGCGGTATGAGGTTTATTTGGCGTTCCTCATGCAAATATAAGGTGGGTATGTATTACCATATTTCGATATTTTCCTATCTCAATACATATCTCGTGACATACTTATGATGAACTGCAACCTCGTTGAAAGTTTTGTCTTAACCCATTTTTTTGAGATAGCCAACAGGGTACTATTACATTCACTTTTATTCTCATGCGCTACATTTCCACAGAGTCACTGCTGACAATTGCAAATGCAGCCAAGGTTTTCCACGATGATTCACATCATCCATTTACTTAATACACAGCCATTAGTGCGCAGAGTTTGCAAGCGAGAAAAGCGCATGCAACTTGTCAAGGTGACCGCACACTTTTCACCATCTAACTTACCTACTGTACATGTGCGCATACATACCCACAGCGATGAGATTCCATCACTCATCCGCTCACTTGCAACATTATTCAGCTCATCCACTTGGCCGCTCAGCCAGTCGGTTAGTCAATCAATTTGAGTGCTTGGCAGCTTTTTGTGTTTGATTGCGATCAGTGTTTGGGAATTCTGCTCGACAAGTGGGCTGCCACTTCGACGACTTAAGGCAGAACGGTGGCCAGGGACGAACGACTGACTGGCAGGTTAGCAGCTTTCGTCTGATGCGTTTGCTGCGCCAAATACTCGCTATACATACTTATAGTAGTAGTCCACTTTTGGCTTTGTTATTTTAACAATTGAAATGAAAGCAGAAGTTATTTGCAGTTGAGAAGTATCTAACAACTACCACCACCACAGTAACTGCCGCAGAACAGTGGGATCCAACGTAGCCATGGCTTGGAAGAAATGATTTGGCATTTCAAATGGTTGGGGGTTGGGTGGATGATTTAAGGAAGCAGAACAAGACATTTTGTGGCACTGATGTTGCAGCTGATGCGCCAGTCAGTGATGATGACATTGATAAAAGGCATTGCTGCTCTCGTTAACGATAGTTGATGTGGTTCTTGCTACAGCGCATTGTATGCATAGTCATCTTCAAGTTGTTATTGTTAAGTATTGCTGAGCATATATATGTATGTACTTACATAGCAGTCAGTCGGATGGTGGATGGTGGCCAGTGTTTGCTTAGTTGCGCTAGGCGTGTCGAGTACGTCGATTGCTTCAAGTGCCACACAGTGTGGTGGGTGGGTGGCCAGAATTGGCATCGCAAAAGCGCGCGGTAAACGTTCTTCAACTTGACATAATGAAAATGACAATCATACTTGAGACAAATTGTGAATTTATTCAAGCAGTCATTGCTGCCAGGAGCTGATGGGGGGGGTGGCTTAGCTTTCAACTTTACTTTACTTATAATGCCATGGTGCTTTGACTCGATAGTTGGTTTTTGTAAACTAAATTGTGGTTTGGACAAAGTGGGTGTGGGTGGGAGTAAAAAGGAATGAATTTCTTTGAAATGTTGCGCTGTCAAATGCACTTCAGTCACTAATCAAAAATATTTCTGAATTAGTAATTGTAGTTTAGTTAGTGCACTCGACGGATGTTTATGTAGGTACAGCTATGCATTGAAATATTTTAATTGAATTGAAAGCCAAAGCAAGTGTGCTGACCTCTGCCATTTACATACATACATACAAAAGAGGAAGAAATTTCTGATTTTTTCATTGAAATATCCATACATAAGTATGTAAATTTGCGTTAATTTCATAATGCAAATTAAATTGATGAGTTTTATAAACTTGCAGAATTACGCTGTAAATTTGTTTGTAGAATTATGCAATGCACACACATCTATGTACATATTTATATTTGAACGATATCATATTCAGTGACTGAGCCCTCATTTTGAAGAGGGGAAAACCCACGCGCCTGCGAAAAATAGTCGCGTTGTTCAAATTTGATGATTTCGAAAAAAAAGTGTTTTTAAAAAACTTGAAAAACTCCATATCTTCCATAAAAATGCATTAAATTTAATGAGTAAACAACCATTCTGAAGGCCAGCTTTACCGTTCCAGGTGAAAAAAAAACTTTTGAATAGAGTTGCCACATGTCTAAAATATTAGTGAACAAAATATATATTTTAACCAGTGTTGCCATTTTAGTTATTTTCCAGCTAGATTTTTATATTTTTTTTTAACTATAAGTAAAAATTTTGAAGAGAGTTGCCAACTATCTAAAAATTTAAATCTATCAGCCTTGGCATGAGTTTAATTTTCGCCCCAAATCAATCTCTTTTCGCGTATGTGTATTCACTAAGGGCGGATAAAAAATCCGAATTTGTTTTCCAGCATCACTTTTTACACTTTAAAAAATTTGACGAAAAATATAAATTTCTGGAAAAAATGTATTTTCCTTAGATTTTGTATAGAAAATTTTGGATTTTCTTAATTTTGTTAGCATAGTGCAATTGAAAAGGTTCCCAGGTTGAAAATTGTGCCAATACTAAAAAAAAAGTATAGGTTAGGTTAGGTTAGCGTGCGTTGTGATTTCGTAGCGGTTCCATTTACAGCTGCCGGATATGAACAAGTTATGGTGGAATTTCGGTCAAAAATTCACGTAAGAAAATTTGGCGTTTACATTTCTGTGGCGGCTACGCTTCGATTGCTTCGAAGATAGCTGGAATTCTTCGAAATTGTACTTTTAGTGTTTGAAACCCTGTCGTGAAGAAGAAACATTTGCTCAGGATAAACAAAAATTAAAATACGAGATTATGTTGGGGAATAAAACTATTTATCGAAAACACTAGTTGGCAAGTAATCTCACGTTGTCCAGGGTGTGGAAATGAGAATGCAAGAGCGGGAGTTGCTTTTAGTCGAGTAACTCTAAATGCATATACAGAAACCCTACACACACTGGTATTACTTAAACAAATACAAAATCAAATTTTTTCATAATTTATCAATTTTATTTGTTATCTCAAAAATTTACTCAAATCAAAAAGAAACATGTATATTTAGTTTCTTGATGTGCACGTTTATCACCAATTTCAGTATTTTTACATTTTATTTGCTAGAAATTCCCGATTTTGCTTCAATCCAAGGCAAGTACGAGGTAACACGGGTGAATACACCTGGCCAGCCCATTTCACAGCCAAGTCGAATGCCAAAGGATGTTGCACCAATCAGGACAGTGCTTTCACCATCGTTATACACCAACGGACCACCGGAGTCACCATTGCATGTGGAAATACCACCAGTAGTCTTAATGCAGATATTTGTTGATTTTACCGAGCCAAGGAACCATCTGTTGCATACCCTATTCTCCAAAATAGGCACTTCAATAAAGCGCAGTACGTCAGTGGCGCCTCTACTACCTGTAATTAGAAACGAAAAGAATTACAGTATACCAAAAATTCTCATTTTTGAGGTAAGCAATTTTGGTGGAGTGGACAACAACGCCTAACTAACTTACTGTCGCTAATCTTTCCCCAACCAGATGCGATCACTTGTTTACCAACATAGGTATCGTATGTTTCCGCTACTTTAGGCAAAGCAATAGGTTGAACGTAGTCTGAAAATTTTAAAATTACGAAATATTAAAAAAAAAAAAATTATTTGCTCGAATTTCACATGCAATTAAATACTCACCGTTGAATTCAATGGAGACGGGTAGTTTTATAAGTGAAATGTCATCGACTATAGCAACTCCATCATAGGTTTCATGAACAATTATATTTCTATTAGAAACGTAGATTATATGTTGATGCTTCTCCGTTTTATCCGTGCGATTCCAAGCGCCCAAATATACATCGACACCAAGAGCGCTACCAAAAAAAAAGTGTACAATTTCAAATCGGGCTAGAGGTTTCGTACATACTATTTTTGTTAGTGTCGGTTGATACTTCCAATAGAAGAAAGATTGTTATAAATGAAATGACAATTACCCAGGATACCGCAACAAAAATAAAGAAATGAACTATACGGAGTAAAAAAGTATACTAAAGATGGCAGAATGTCGGAACTGGTTTGTCGCCAGACCAAATTTGGCATGCCGTATGTAGGGACTCGCGTTCCAAAATGTATCACTAACACTGTTAGTACCTCAAAATGTATATGTACGTACATACCCATCTGTGCAATGTGCTGCTGTCAGTAGCCAACGATCAGAGATCAAACTGGCGCCACACCACGAAGCACCGTCTTCAAAATATAGCAATAAACCGGCCTGATAAGGAAATTGTTTCGCTGCCGCCACATTTCCATTAGTGATACGTCCTTCAGGACCTCCGAGAGGCATGCGTGGATTAATTGGAATTGCTGGGTACACATCTAACGAACGCACTTTAGACCAATCAACTTCGTTGGCGGAGGCGATTGAGCTGCCTAAAAGGCAAGCGGTTAGAACAATTAGCCACTTCATATTTGATAATGAACTTACGAATTAACTATCGACATGCTAGCACTGATTGCTTTTATACTTTGCGATTAACTGGACTCACAATGGAGTGCCAGTGTTGAGCATAGAATCATGATAAGATAAAACTTAATTTATATATACGAGTACCTAAATACTACCCAAAATGGTATTTAAATTTTTACAGCTGTACTAATCTACTGACAATTAAGAGCAATAAATATTGATTTAAAGCTTTGAGTTTTCCCGCAATAAAAACGAGGTGTTTCCAAATTATAATCTCACAAGTGGCTGTTTGTATTATTACCAAATTGACCGGGGGAAACCCAATGAAAATCCCAGCCGCTTTCGGTCAACACGTAGTAAGCAAAACAAATTAAAAAAAAAGAAGGTGTGTTTTTGCCGAGTTGGTTGGTGGTCAACGGGCATAGACGGCGTCTTTCCTGCGATGTTGCAGAAAGCGGGCCACAAGCAGAGGGGTTATTAGTGTAGCAAAGTCGAAGGCTGTTTAAGATTGACCCGATGATAAGTAGAATTAGCCACGCGAGGTGCACCCACTAGCCTAGCACCGTTTCTTCAAAAGGCCATAGAAATAGATGCTGCTGCTGCAGTGCTACCTCGAACGAACTCATAAGTCCAACGTCAAATTTGAAGTGACTAATTGCTCTAACCGCATGCCTTTTGGGCGGCTCAACCGAGTCTGCTAACGAAGTTGATTGGTCCAAAGTGCGTGCGTTAGATGTGTTCCCATCGTTGGCTGCTGACATGATTGATTTGAAGCGAGACTCCGACTTTGGATATTCCAAATTTGGCCTAAACACTAACCGGTGTCGCCCTTCTGCCATCTTAAGTATAATTTTTTTTTACATCTAGTCCTTGTTCTTACGTTCTTTTTTTATGTTTCTGTGTCCTACTATTTTTGATAGCGCATTTGGTGTTAATGTTTACTTGGATGCCAATGTTATAGCCGATGATATTTTGCTCATAAAGCTTACGATCTGCGTTGGTAAAAAAGGGATCACATCGGTTGGGTAAAGATTAGCGACAGTAAGTTTGATGTTTTCCAACAAAATTCGTAACTCAAAAATTAGACTTTTTTATCCTGCAATTATTTTTGTTTAATCACAGTTAAAAAGACCGCTACTGACGTGCCGCGCTATATTGAAGTTCCTATTTTGGGAAATAGGGTGTTCAAAAGCAATAATAAGCCCACCTCCAGGCCTGCAAATCGGGGTAAAGAACCAATGTAGAGCTGAGGCCACATAGAGGTCTTTAGGTACTCTTGTTGCTCGACTATACTCTATTCCTAGTATTGCTTACGCGTTTGCGCACCATAGGCCGATAACCAACTATTGTCGAGCCTTGGTTAATGCCAGCAGGAGAGAGAGAGAGAGAGAGAGCTGTAGTGGCGTCACTCTGATGTATTTGATTCTAGGATCCACTACGTCTGTGCATCACTAGGTGCTGCTGAAAGCCAGCCGGACGAATTTTTCAGAAGTAAGGTTTGGTATTAGTAAAAGGCAATCTTAAGGTATAAAAAAACCGAGGGTAGCTAACGTGGCCTCGCGTAGAACTTTACCAGAATCCTCGCCAAAGGGCACTCTCAGCCAACATATGCATGTTAACGTGTAAAAAGGTAAGGTGGTTCATAGGCCGAGTCGGCCGGGAAGCCATTGGACATTCTCCGAAATGCACTCTTCCCACAGTATGGGTTCAGCGAACTCGAGACTGCTGCTTTAATCAGCCCCTAACCCTTTTTTGAGAACAACTGAAGGAGCTTATGGAGGTAGAAAAGTTAAGATTCGATTGTTGACTGTATCATATTACAAATTCCATGAAGCCAAAGTGATTGAATTCGGAAAAAGAATTAATGGTTGGAGCGCATGAATACAAAATTTAAGGAGGAGTAGGTGCAGCGAGTTTTTATTGGGCAATTCAATTTGAAGCTATCTATTCGTTTACCAGACACCCATACGAGAACGCATTTTCTTAGATAGCCAGGCGGACACTCGGAGGTTTCCCTCCTCATTTAACCTTTTGAAATCTGTGTGAGGAAGTTTGGCACAATTTGAAATCAAGTTCACAGTGGAAGAATCAGCGAAGTGTGGCTCTGCACTAAATGTGTTAAGCGAAGCGGAGAAGAGCTCCTACCTTAAGAAATATAAGACCTATTTAAAATTAAGGACCTCTTACGATTTAGCATAGCCGGGGTGCCCTGGTACTGGTAAATGTACTTGAACAAGCATTCCTGCTACACAATTTAGAGTGCAGCCGCTTTAAACTTTTTAATAACAAATTTTTATGTATTTTTATTTAAATGTTAAACTAAATTTCAATAAATTAAAAAAAAAGTCACACACTTACAACTCTTCCAAATTAGATATCTAACTAAAACCAATTCAATGTTAATAAATGTATTCTACTTTCTCCGTACATTCAACACAAAGTAAATGTGTCAAGTTTCAATTAGTGTCAACACTAATTTTTCGTGTTCCCCTATATGTACATATGTACATATAAGTATGTATAACGGATGGACGTCCGCATGTCAAGTCGCGACTNATTCAATGTTAATAAATGTATTCTACTTTCTCCGTACATTCAACACAAAGAAAATGTGTCAAGTTTCAATTAGTGTCAACACGTCAAAAACATGTAATATGTAGCACTCACATANGTGTTAAGCGAAGCGGAGAAGAGCTCCTACCTTAAGAAATATAAGACCTATTTAAAATTAAGGACCTCTTACGATTTAGCATAGCCGGGGTGCCCTGGTACTGGTAAATGTACTTGAACAAGCATTCCTGCTACACAATTTAGAGTGCAGCCGCTTTAAACTTTTTAATAACAAATTTTTATGTATTTTTATTTAAATGTTAAACTAAATTTCAATAAATTAAAAAAAAAGTCACACACTTACAACTCTTCCAAATTAGATATCTAACTAAAACCAATTCAATGTTAATAAATGTATTCTACTTTCTCCGTACATTCAACACAAAGTAAATGTGTCAAGTTTCAATTAGTGTCAACACTAATTTTTCGTGTTCCCCTATATGTACATATGTACATATAAGTATGTATAACGGATGGACGTCCGCATGTCAAGTCGCGACTGTCAAGCGCAACTCCACATGCACCAAGAAAAATCCATTAGTGGCAATGAGAGCAAATCAAAATCACTGATTTACTTACTCTGTGGCCCACCGTTACCTTACCAGTCACCGGAGTATAGGATCAATGATTAGCTGAGAATACAGCAGTGACTACGATACGACAAACAGTCAGTTGACATACGGAACATAAACAAAAGCTGCAAAACTTTTTTTTTTTTTGGGTGGAAGGCTATGCTACCAGCGCAATTATGACAATGTCAATGCAATTGCAGCAATAGAAGGGAGGAGGGTAGAGCACGTTTGCCCGGTAACATATGAACATATTCTGGACAAGTGCATCTGAGGAATTCCACGCAAAGATAAGCAAGCGGAAAATTAAGAAAATTAAATTTAGACTTTGGGAAGAAGTAAGGATTAAAAGCAGTTAAAAAATTCAGCTAAATAGACATCTAAAAACAAATAACGATAGAGCTGTTCTCATGAAAAGAGAAAACATTACCTAGATCGACTGTTGCATATTTAGGGTGAAATTATTTCATTTGAAGTACTATAGCATAAATATCTGAAAAAATTGTGATACGGGAAAATACTTTACAAAACTTTATTTACTAAGTAGCAAGGACCGAACATAACAGTTATTGATGAAAATTGTCATGAAAAAATTCACTTCGAAGGAAATGCGCTACAACTAAGTGATACATACCAATCGATTTCTTTTTTCACCGAGACTCATATTTGAAAATAAATTTTTATTTGCAAAATTTAAAAAATAACAATTATTTTTGATTTTTATATATAAATCCATAACAATGATTTTTGATTTTTATGTTATATGTCTTAGATAACCTTAGATAACAGTTATTGAAGACTTCTATTATTTATAAAAGTCGTCAATAAACATCAGTCAGTGACTTTTACTTTTAAAAGTCATCAATATAAATCAGTCACCGACATTTATTTTTTAAATCATTCGTATAAAAGTCATTAACATTTTTCGTAGTTAAGAAGGCGTTGGAAAACAAAACTTTACTACGACTTTTACAAATGACTCTTATAGGTATGATTTAAAAAATAAAGGTCAGTGAGTGATATTTATTTATGATTTTTATAAATAAAAGTCTTCGATAGCTAAGACATATAATTTAAAAATCAAAAATAATTGTTTTTTGCAGACTATTTAGATAAAAATTATGAGGTGGGTTTTATCGAAGGCTGAGGTAGCTCAGCCGCTCCAGGGTTGAGTGGAGGTCCCACTAACCCCCACTGAATAAAATAAACACAGTAGTTAAATATAGCGAACACAACCACACAAACACGCGGCCGTTCGGCCAGGCTGCCGGTACCCTGACGTCCACGAAGAGAGGGGAGAGAGAGAGAGCGACTAACTGGTCGGCGGTCGGCGTCGTGGCTCAGAGAGCGGAGACTGTCTAGTGGCTAGTGACGGTGGCGGTGATGTTGAGAGCGGTGACGGTGAGAGCGGTGATGGTTCGGTGAATAATGACAGTGAGAGCGGTAGCGAGCGTGATGATCAGGCATGGGCAGAGAGTTAGCAGGTGCTAAAAGAGCGTAAGCGTTGAGTGTACATATACAAGCGAGAGCGCAGCGATGAGAACACGACAGCATGCAAAATGCATTAGGTACACTAACACATGCTCACTTTTAGCTCACGCTTGTTTGTGGTAGTGCCCACCTCTGGTGATGATGGTAAATGCCCACAGCACGGGTACTGCAGCCAATGAGAGCGACGATGCTAATCGTGATGGCAGTAGCAGTCCCTTTAGTAGTGACGGCCCTGCGGTGATGTTGACGGTGGCCCAAATAGTGATGAGGGCGGTAGCGACCTCCCGTAGTGAGAGCGGTATTGGCGGCCCTAGTTATAACAAAGGGCCT